GGCTGCATAGCTAGTTTGAGGTCAGCATAAGCCACTTAAAACCTGTTTCAAGGGATGGGGGGGGGGAGTTCTAAAGGGAAGCTCTTTAAAACTCAGAAAGTAAACAACTCAAAAGCCTCAGGAAGTCCCTGAAATTGACCAGATGAACCAGGCTTCTCCTTCCCCTGATTATACAAACAATGGGGACAGACTGGGCCACTCCCAGAAGTCAAGATACCTGGAAGAGGCTGGGCTGAATACAGCTGCCTGCAAGGCCTACAGTGAGTTCCAGCATCCCAGCTTTCAGGAGCTGCCACTCATGCTGGGGTAAACTCTCAGCAGTGCAGCTGCTTTTGAGTCATTCTTATTCCTGTAAGCAACACCAGACCCATACTCCTATAAGTAACACCAGTAAACTCAACTTGGGGGATATCCTGACTTTGGTCTGTCATTAATTCCCTATCTAGGGAGAGTAAATGTTGGCACACTCCCAGCCATAGTGCCACACAAGTGCCTTCCTTTTTCCAAAGCTCCCCGCACTTAGAAAAACCCCAGCCTCACATGTAAGAACAAACAGAACAAAGCTGGATGGAGCAATGGCTCAGTGGTTAAGATTACCTGTTGCTCTCGCAGAGGCCAATAGCTTAGGCTTGTCTCTAGCAAGCTCTTGCAACTTGACCCATTTTTATCAATCTATGTGTTGCCCCGAGGCTCATTTACCTCATCTATGATTTTCCCAAGTTTTTTCTCCTGCATCTGGCTCGACACTCCTCAGACTCTACCCTTCTTCTTCCCTGAATTCTCTCTGCCCTGAAAATCCTGCCTACATATCAGCTTTTTACTAACATTGGGAGTAACACATTTTCACTGTATAGAAGGATTATTCCATAGCATTTCTCTTTTTTTGTCTAAATAAAAAAGGAAGGTTTGACTATAACATAGTAAAATTATATACAACAAAACAGTTAACAAGTAAGAATTACAGTTTCAATATCCAATCCATTTGTATTTGGAAAACTTAGAGAAAATATTCTGTTATTTATCTTAGTTTTATACCTAATTTATCTTTTTATCATAACTAGAAAAACTTTAAGCCTAACTATTTAGTCTTTAACTCCATCAAAGAACCCAGAAGGGCAAAATGTTAGCTAATGACAAGGGCATCTAGCTGCCTGAACAGACACCCTATGTTCTTCTGTAACATTGGGAAATCCTGCTTTGGTCTACAGGCCTGGTATATCTGACAGACATTCTGAGAAGCAGGGAATTTTGAAGGACTGTCCTACCTTGTATTGACAAAGTTTGGCAGTTGCTTTTTTTTTTTTTTTTGCATCCTGCTGGCCATTTTAGACAGTATACTGTTAGCAAATGAGCCAAAGGTAGTTTCTTTGCCCAAACTGTTAGATTTTGCCATAAAGAAAACAAATTCTATATAGCATTTATTCAATGCCCACCATCTTCTTTTGAATCGAACTGGTGCTGTCAGGAGCAGATATGCCTCATTGTCAAGAAAGGTATTATGTTATTAAAAAATTCTAAATGCCATATTCTGTAGGTCTTTGAAATGTTTGAAGACCATCTATCTATCTAAATATATCTGTGTATGACCTTGGAAACATACCTAACATGACTACAAGTTTGACTATTGTAAAAAATCTGACTATTATAGTTGACTATTACTCTGTATTTCTTTTTTGTTTTGTTTATTTTACATACCAATCCCAGTTCCCCCCTTCCTTCTCCCCTCCAACTCTCCCTACTTTCCCCCACCCCACTCCCTATTTGCTCTTCCTACAGGGTAAGGCCTCCCCTGGAAGTCAACTAAGTCTGTACCATCACCTCGTTGAGGCAGGACTAAGGCCCTGCCCCAGCCTAGGCTGAAAAAAGTATCTCTCCATAGAGAATGGTCTCTACAAAGTCAATTCATGTGTTAGGTGTAGATCCTGGTGCCACTGCCAGTGAGTTCACATACTGCCCAAGCTACACCATTGTCACCTGCATTCAGAGGGCCTAGCTCAGTCCTATGCAAGTTCCCCAGTTGTCAATCTAGAGTCAGTAAACTCCCTCTAGCTTGGGTCAGCTGGTTCTGTGGGCTTCTCAATCATGGTCTTGACCCCAATGTTCATATTAGCACTCCTCCCTCTATGCAATTGTACTCTGGGAATTCAGCCCAGTGGTCAGTTGTGGATCTCTGCATCTGCTTCCATCTGTTTCTGGATGAGGGTTTTAGCTTCTCTGGGGTTGTGGACTGTGGGATGGTTACCCTTTGCTTTATGTCTAGCATCACTTATGAGTGAGTACATACTATATTTGCCTTTTTGGATCAGGATTACCTCGCTCTGGATGGTTTTCTTTCTAGTTCTGTCCATTTGCCTGCAAATTTCAATATGCCATTGTTTTTTATTGCTGAGTAATACTCCATTGTGTAAATGTACCACATATTTTTATCCATTCTTCAGTTGAGAAGCATCTAGGTTGTTTTCATGTTCTGGACAATGCTACTGTGGACAGAGTTGAGCAAATGTCCTTGTGGTGTGAATGTGTCTTCTTTGTGTATATGCCCAAAAGTCATATTGCTGGGCCTTGAGGTAGATTGATTCCTAATTTTTTGAGAAATCACCATACTTATTCCCAAAGTGTATAAGTTTGCACTCCCACCAGCAATGCAGGAGTGTTCCCATTACTCCACATCCTCTCCAGCATAAGTTGTCATCAGAGTTTTTGATCTTAGCCAATCTGATCAGTGTAAGATGGAATCTCAGAGTTGTTTTGATTTGTGTTTCCCTGATGGCTAAGGATGTTGAACATTTTCTCAAGTGTCTTTCAGCCATTTTAGATTTTTCTGTTGAGAATTCTTTGTTTAGATCTGCACGTCATTTTTTTAATTGGATTATTTGAAATTTTGATATTTAGTTTGTTGAGTTCTTTGTATATTCTGGAGATTATCCCTCTGTCTGATGTGGGGTTGGTGAAGATTTTTTTCCCATTCTGTAGGCTGTCATTTTGTCTTGTTGACCATGTCCTTTGCTTTACAGAAGCTTTTCAGTTTCAGGAAGTCCCATTTATTAATTGTTTCTCTCAGTGTCTGTACTACTGGTATTATATTTAGAAAGTAATCTCCTGTGCCAATGTGTTCAAGGGTACTTTCCAATTTCTCTTCTATGAGGTTCAATGTGGCTGGCTTTATGTTGAGGTCTTTGATCCATTTGTACTTGAGTTTTGTGCATGGTAATTAATCTGTATTTTTAAATGAGCTGCATAATCACAATACCCCAATCAAGAGTAGAAACATACATATAATAAAACAAAATTGACATTAAATGTGAATCAATAAACCAAAGTTCATACCGATGTAAAATATTTTAAGATTGATAGTTATTTTCTGTTTAAAGCAGATTAATAATCTACCCTTTTCCTATCATTCCTGCATCATATTCCTCTTTTTTCCTTTAGAAAGAAATCTTTGAATTTAACTCTTTTGTTTAACTTTTTTCAAATAATATGACCAATAACAATTTGTAACCAACACTCTTAAATATAAAAAATGTTCATAGCCCAGTGTTGTGGGACAGTGGTCTTTTATCCTGTTACTTATATTATTTTTAATAAAATGCTGATTGGCCATTAGCCAGGCAGGAAGTAGAGGTGTGGTGACCAGGCAGGAAGTGGAAGTGGGGCAATAAGAACAGGAGAATTCTGGGAAAGGAAAGCTCAGTCTCCAGTCATGACCCAGCCACAGAGGAAGCAAGATGTGACTGCCTTGCTGAATAAGGTACAGAGCCAGGTGGCGAAGACAGACACGAATAATGGGCTAATATAAAATGTAAAAAAGAGTTAATAAGAAGCCTGAGCTAATAGGCCAATCAGTTTATAATTAATATAGGCCTCTGTGTGTTTATTTAGGACTAACAGACATGGGACCTGGCCGGACAGAAACTCCAGACAACAGCCCATCTTTTTAGAATGTGGGCACTGACTTTTCTAGTCTGTGTCCCGTTGTTTGAGAGTGCTGGCATCTTTCAGGGAACCTTGAGAAGATTATGATAATGAGAAAATTAGGAAAATTAGCATAATTAAGCCTTGGCTAGAGTAAACTGTGAGGCTGGACCATCTCAGCCAGCATCCTTCAAGCTGCCTTTGATGCAGAATTCTGAGGAGACTGTAGCAGAGGCACCTGCACCATTCATTTCATTGGTGTTTGGTCCCCTTGTTCTGAAAATACATAAACTTTTGAAGGTAACATACATATCTGTATTAAATCAAGTATATATTGTGTGTTATACACAAGTTAGCCAAAGGTGATTTTTTTATTTATGGTTTGAGCAGGTAAAATATAGGCTACATGTTTTGTAAGGGTTTTTTTAGGTTATTTCTTTATGTTTGTAGCCAGGATTTTCAGGTGGTCTTCCCCAATCAAACCTGATCATCTTCAACCTTTAACAAATCCACAGCCTTTCATTTTCTATGAGGACAAAATCATAACCTCTTCCCCAAAGTAAATTATCTTTTGACTTCCATTTAGAAGTCAAGACATTTTAAAATTATATAGGTTGGTTTAATCCAGATGTTTACATAACCCAATGTGTCTTAGCAACTGTCATTCCTTCATCAGCAATCAGAAAATTCAAAGACAACAAACAAAATAACATACGGGATCCAGACTCTCTGTGTATTTCCCATCTTTATGTGGCTTATTATATTTTTGTTACTTTAATCCTATTTTAAGGACTTTATTATTTTTAAACTATTTTTTCTGTGACTGTCTAAACCATTTTTCATTTCTCTCCCAGGCCTAGGTACATTTTTAAACACACTGTAACCCACCTGGGAGGCTGAGGTTAAAGGGCCAGAATCCCAGTGACCTCGGCTATATAGGAAGTCAGAGGCCATCCTGGACTACAGGAGACCCTGTCTCAAAAAAAAAAAAAAAAAAAAGAATAAAAAATGTAAGGAGCTGAGGAAATGCTGAAGGAAGACCCCAGACTCAAGCAGATGCAAAGACGAAGAGCCTTTATTCTACAGAAACTTCCAGCATGTGTGCAGGGTAGAACACCCGTACAAAATGGCAACAACCCAGGGAGGAGCACGCAGGCTCCTTTTAAACACCGCCAGGGGAATGTCGGGGTGGTAGGTCATCTCAAACACAATTGGTTCAGCAAGCAGCGGTTACATTAGTATACTCGTAATTGGCTGAGGTTTTATCTTTGGACCTATTTGAGTGAGTTCCAAGGAGGTTGCAGGACTGTCCTTGAGACTTTGTGGGGCTGACTCAGGCCTTGTTCCTTCTCTCCTCCTCGTCCCTGTTGTCAGGGGTATCTTGGTTAACAGCCCTTTATTTAAGAAATTGAAACTTAGACCCTGCTTGTGAAATGGAGGAAGTTTAGACTTCTCAAAATAGTATCAGTTATAGTTCATTTTTTGCTCTTTTCTCAAATATCAAAAGGAAGGAAGTGGCCTGTGCGCTGTCACACACATTTGCGGAGTTTTTATTTCATTTTTATTTATTTTATATGTATACATGTTATGTCTGAATGTCTATCTGTGCATCATGTGTGTGCCTGATGCTGGAGGAAGACAGAAGAGGTCATCGGATCCCCTGGAACAGGAATTATAGACAGTTGTGAGCCACCATGTAAGTGCTGGGAATTGAACCCTGATCCTTGGAAGAGCAGCCAGGGCTCTTAACCTCTGAGCCATCTCTCCAGCCCTGTTTCTCGGGGATTTGTTGTTGCTATTGTTTGTTTGTCGTGATCTGGTTTACTTTGTGAGACAAGGTCTAGAGTCTAACTTTTTTTTTCCTTTTTTTTTTTCCTTTAGCTTCTCAAGACAGGGTTTCTCTGGCTGTCCTGGAACTTGCTTTGTAGACCAGTTTGGCCTTGAACTCACGGAGATCCAATTGCCTCTGCCTCCCCCCACCCCCCCACACACACACCTGTTAGTCTAACTCTTCAGCACAAGCTTGCTTTGAACTCACTCTGCAAGCCTGCCTGTGCTCAAAATCCTACTTCAGCTCCCAGAGTAGCTGGGGTTAACAGGCCTCGAGGCCCAGCAGGCTGCTTTGTGCTCTGGTTAGTGGGTGATGTGTTTACTCTTCAGGCTAAGTGAACTTTTGAACTTAACTATTTTTCTTTCTGCAAGATCAGAGTCCCTTCTTGATAAACTAAACACACTCCTGCTCACTCTGGCAAACTGGTCTGAAAGCCACCTCTCACAGCAGAGAGGCCAAGGCCCTACCCCACCCCCAGATTATTCTTGTTGTTTGATTTTTAGTTTCTGTTTTTGTGGGGCTGGGGATTGAACTCAGAGCCTTGTGCATGCTAAGCCAGCATGATATCGCTGAGGTAAACTTCCATTCATATTATTATTTTAGTTGCATGCAAGCATGCCTGCATGCGTGCACGTGTGCCTGTGTGCATTCGTGTGTAGCTAAGTTCTTGCATGGACACACCAGGGTCCTCACATGGAAGTCAGAGAACAACTTGTGGGAGTTGGTCTTCTCTTTCCATCACGTGGGTCGTAGGGATCAAACTCAGCTTGCCTCGCCATCTCACAGGCCCTTCTTCTAAATTTTTTCCAATTATTGTTGTTTCTATTTTGTTTTGAGACAGGGTCTCACCACGTAGTTCTGGTTGGCCTGGAATTTGCTATGTGGACCAGGCTGGCCACAAATTCCCAGAGATACACCTGCCTCTGCCTCCCCAAGTTCAGGGACATAAGGCACACACCATCATACCCAGCTCCCTTTCCCCATTTATTATTATGTGTGTGTGTGAATATAAATATGTGTGTGTGTGTGTGAAGTTGGTTACCCATGCACACTGCATGTGGAGGTCAGAGTACAATGTTGAGAAGTCAGTTCTTGCCTTCCACAGATTTGGGGCTGGAACTCAGATTTTGTCAAATGTGTACTCTCCAGCCCTGGACTCTCATTCTCAATCCTTAACCCTCATGAAAACAGGACAGAACCCCTGTTTTCAGCTTTTAAAGTGCTGTATTTCTGCTGGGGGTATAGCTCAATTGGCAGAGTGTTGACCTAGCATTCATGAAGCCTTGAGTTCAAACCTCAGCACAGCATAAACCAGGCCTAGTAATGCCCATTGGTAATCCCAGAAAATGGAGGCAGGAGGATCGGAAGTTCAAGGTCATCCTTTGCTATGTAGCTTGTTTGAGGCCAGCCTGGGCTATAGAAGACCCTATCACAGCAGCTCCCAACCTGTGGGTTGAGATCATCAGATGGTCTTAGGAACCGAGACACCACTCAGTAGCAAGATTACAGTTATGAGTGTAATGAAATGAAAATACATGTATGACTGGGGGTTCCTAAGTCCACCAGAAATGTGTTTTGTCATGACCCACGGATTGAGAACTGCTGCCCTATTGTTTTTAATTCTGTGTTTCAGAGCTGGAGTATATCTCATACCCCAGCGACAGAGCGCGTGCCTAGCCTGTGAGGCCTTGGGATGTGACGCTCAGCACAGCAGGTAAGCAATACATACTGGATATTGCACTTGGGGAGACTGAGGCAAGGGAGCAATAAGTTCCAGTCACATAGTGAGTTCTAAGTTGGTGTAGACTACATCCCAAGATCTCACACAAAACCCTTATCCGACGGTCCTTTGTCATCATGACATCCTTGGGGTGGAGATTTCGTTTTGTTTCCAGCTTTCTTCCCTAGAGAGAGTCAGAGAAGCTCTCTCTGAACTTTTAGCTGTCACATTTTGTCACAGAGTTCAATCCAATTTACCACCTAACTGACAAATTGACCAAAACTACCAAAAACAGCAGAGCAAGAATGTTCAATGTCTTCCTTTGTTTTTTCTGTCATTACATTGCATGATAAAAGGGAATATTATAAGAAAATTAATTTCTGGGAGGCATATTGGGACAACTCACAAAGGAAAACTAAAAAGTCAATTCTAGCTTCACGGTATTCAGTAAACTCAGCTGGAAAGAAGAAAAGCTGAACTCCCTGTCTGCTTGACGGTCAAAGATGAGCGGTTGATACCTGAGTTTCATGACAGGATGCCCTGCCATTTCCCTCTCCTGCGGCCCTGAAGTCAGCCAGAACCAGATTAGAAACATGCTTTATTGTAAGTAAATAGAGGGCTCCAAGGACTATAAATGTAATCTCAAGCAGGTAAAAGAACGGGAAGGAAAGTTAAGCTATCCTTGTGGAAAGGCGCAAGACAGAAGGGCCTCTGCCTTGCTGTTACCGGAGCAGACGGGAACTCACACCTGAATCAGCAGCCTGTGACCAGACCCTCCCTCCACCCGGGAGGATGACGCAGGAGTACGGTTAGCACTGAACAATCTGGACAATCAAGTCCAGTGCTAATCGTACTCCGGCGTGTTCTCTCCATCGTTGTGAGAGACCGGTACTGTCGTGCGGATCTGAGAGCAATGAGCTTGCGGTGCCTTGGAGGGGCTGGTGGTGCCCGCGGCTTAGTCTTGACCGGGGACACTATTCTCCTGCATAGTTTCCAGTATCCAGTCCATGTAGTTCTTTACCTTCGTGTAGATCCCATAGGTCCCACACTTCTTCCCCCAGGACACCAGGCCTGCCACATAGAATTTGGGGTCCTGTACACTGGGGACCCGCAATGCAAAAGCCCCGCCGCTGTCCCCCTGACAGCTATCAACACCCTTCTCTCCAGCACAGATCATGTTGCTGGTGAAGACATAGTCCTCTGCCCTCACTCTGGGGGTCTCCTCTTTCACCTGCTGGCACTTCTCTAAAGAGGTGACGGGTAACTTTGCCCCTTTGAGGTTGAGAACAATATTTCTCCTCTCTGTTCGGCCCCACCCTGAAATCAGCCCCAGGTCACCCTCGGAGAGCTCATACTCTGGGGAGGTGCCCGGCAGGCAGATGGGAGAGACGGTGGGCCCCATTTTCACGGGGTCTTTCAGTCGCACCAATGCGATGTCATTGTCAAAATTTGTCCGTGTGCTTAGGTCATCCCCCAGTTTCCAGTCCGGATGAATAAACACACGTTCGGAGGTGAGCTTCTGGACATTGTTCAGATGTTCCATTCTCACAGACGTGGACCCCACGTACATCGATGGGTCGGAAATTCCCTCCACGACGTGGGCCGCTGTCAGCACCCAATACTCATCAATGAGAGCCCCACCAGCCCGTGGGTACTCAAAGAAGACTTGCCAGGGAAAATTCTCAATCTGCGCAGGGGATCCTCCGAAGATCCTCTGATAGGTTTTAAAGGGCTTAGTGGGTACTCCACAGACTGGATGGGAATAAGAACAAGAAAGGGAGGTGCAGGAGGTGAGGCTGGCCTCTGGAAAACTCAGCCACCCAACTACTGTATCCAGTGGGTGGCCAAGTTCTCCAGCATGTCTTCGTCGATGTCAGTTGCTCAACTACCTCCACATTTGACTTATTCTAGAATGGTACTTTGAATATCATTGGCCCCCCAGAAGCTTATAGGGAGTGGCACTATTAGGAGGTCTAGCCTTGTTGAAGTAGGCGTGGCCTTGGTGGAGGAAGTGTGTCACTGTGGGGACAGGCTTTGGGGTCTCCTATGTGCAAATTCTTCCTGTTGGTGTGGATCAGGATGTAGAACTCTCAGCTTCTTCTCCAGCACCATGGCTGCCAGCATGCCACCATGGCCCACCATGGTAATAATGAGCTAGACCTCTGAACTGTAAGCCAGCCCCAGTTAAATGTTTTTCCTTTATAAGAGTTGCTGTGGTCATGGTGTCTCTTCACAGCCATAGACACCCTAACTAAGACACCTAACCTCCCCTGAGCATCTCCTTTGGCACTGCCAAGCAGGTTATGGTCAAGATTGGCTCAACAGGAGGCTTATGTGAACAACTGAACCAAACGAGCTAGCACTTTCCACTCTCCACAGTCTGACTCACAGCCTCTCTGAGGCACACTCACGCCCAGGCTTGGCACGCGGGGCCAGAGACCCAACTAGAAGGTCATGCTGGGAAACTTTAACCCCACCCAGACTGGAAGCAGGCTTTCTACCTCCACATCGTGCTCAGATGAAGCTCTTAGCTAGAGGGTGTGGAGGGAGGGGTCTCACTGTGTAGCCTAGACTGATCTCACCATCCTATCTCAGCATCCAGAGTGCTGAGTGCACAGCCCAGCACCCCACTCTGCTAATGTGGTTTGATCTGTGGTTCCCTAATGCCTAATATGACACCGTCTGTTGCTGCTGGAAGACTTTCTTATTTCCTTTCAAGTCAGTCTGAGTTGATACAGATGAAGGAACTCCAGAACCCAGAGTTACTACTACCATACTCCACTCTGGGGTGCCAGGATTAAGTCCTTTGCTGAGAGGTTAGCTATTTCCACGTGGTACCCGCTCCCCTCATGGACATCTACGGCCTCTACCCACACCGCAGCCCGATTACCTGGAACACATTTGGGCAGCTCTATACCCAGCTCATCATTCACCCAGCTCCCGTTAGCAGCGCAGCGATACTCCCCTGGAATAGCACAAGGAACACAGGTCACACTTGGCACATCTCTCCTGCATCCTCCATTTACACACAGACTCTCTGGACATTGAAGGGAGAACCATATCCAATCAGCTAGAAAAGAACCTTCGCTCAGGAGTGATGGCACTGGCACTTTAGGAGGTGGAAGCAGGAAGGTCCAGGCCAGCCTCTGCTCCATAGAAAAGGCAAAGCCACCCTGGGCTATGCAAAACTCCATTTCAAAAACAACGAATGGGAGTGGGGGTGGGGAGTGGGAGGAGGATAGCCCAGGCTCCCCTTGAACAACTGCTACCTTACAAGGGCTAGGATTACACACCTCCATCACCGTGCCTGCCCTGCAAATTCTACATGAAAGAGCTGGTCCAAAGTCAGATAACCACGTGAAGTGGATGCTGCAAAGGAATTCCTGCTGCAGCTGTGACACTAAGCCAGTGACCTCTATGATCCCCCTTCAATGATCCCTGAAAACATACCCTATCCCACAAGCCAACTGTGTCCTTAGACTAAGCCAAAAGGAGGACAGTGTCTATCTACTCTTTCTCACTTCTCTATCATCTCTCTCCAACCAGAGAGACATGGCATTCACCCCTCCACCTCATTCACGCTCCTCCCCCTCTCTCTTCTTCCGGTAGAAGAAACCTACCGCCGTGTTCATTGTGTTCCATGTAATAATGCGGCTCCTCGCACGAGTAGTGAATGACAGAACCAAATAGAGTATCTTCTGGATTGTCAACTTTACCATTCTGAATGGGTTCTGGAAGACCACAGTCCACAGCTACAAGAAGCAGGGAAATGGACAGTCAGGACAGTCATTTTCTCCCAGGAAGAGTTAGGGCCCCATTCGCTCCTCACTCTTCCTCAGCCACGTCCATAACCACACCCATGATGAATCTTCCGACACCAGCTCTTTTGTGGCATCTTCTCTAACCCAGCTCTCCAGCCCACTGAGACCTGCCAATCCAGATGGCCCTTGAAAGAGGCCAGGAGGAAGCTATTTCTCTGGTCGGCAGAGGCACCTGTAGAGCCCAGAATATACTCCCTTAGAGTTCTCGGCTCCATACTCCATTGCCCCTTTCTTTAGAAGAAACACATTAGTCTGCGTGGCCTAGGACTAGACAAGAGCTAGACAATCCTCCATTATAGGGTTAAAAAAAAATGCCATTCTTTCACAAGCCTAAAAGGAAACCATGCGGTTGAATTCTGATGTGCCGATTATCCCGTTCCCTTTGGGAAGGGCAAGGGGAGCTCCACTTGAAGGGACACCTACGCTGGCATTGTAGTCCAGAATTGCTCCACTGCCCATTGCTTTGACAAGTAGAATAGAAGAACGTTGAGCCAACATTTCCCTGGAGAAAAACAGACGTCAACATCAATTTAGAAAAGCATATGGAAAATCAAATCCAATAACTCAATTGATCTCAGGCCTTCGATCAATGAGAAGTCCTCATCAAAAGAGGCTTGGGGCATCTTTAGAAGAATAACTCTGAACACCCAGGAGCTGGGGCTGGAAGAGAGCCCTGCCCCAGCATTTCAACTCCCTTCCTGAGGAAGATTGATGGTGGAGAGGGCGAGGTGGCCCCGGAGCTCCAGACCTCATGGGGAGGATGGACACCCAGACCTCTCACTGGAAGGATGGACACCCAGACCTCACCAGAAGGACAGACAATCTTCAGCCATTCCTTCTATGGTTGATCTGGCAGCGACAGCCTCCGGCACCCAGATGTCTGATCTGGAGCCAGAGACCAGGGAGAAGCCTCAATGGTACTTTACCTCCACAACCTCAAACCCTTCCGCGCAGGATATCTTCACCACATCTTTAAACACGTATTTTGCCTTTTCAGGCTCCCAAATAGAATCGGCAGTGATTTCTCTAGGACAAGGGATTGCTTGAGGAGGACAGAAATGAGATTTTACTAAATGGTTAGAAACTGTGTGCTAGGTTACATAATTCCCACTTTTCTGAGACAGGGTCGGGGTCTCTCTCTCTCTCCTCCCTCTCAACGAATATGACGCCACTAATTAGCTACCCCACTCCCCGTTGTCTGTGTTTTCAAGACTCTCTTAAAGGTTACTAATCAGACAACAATCGATTTGTTTTGATTCTACACGTCCAAAGAATTTATTTAGTATCACCAACCAAAAAGGCCCTTTTAGCTACTCACGGTCTCCATGGTAACGAAGTTTCCAGCCCTTCCTTTGCCCTGTTAGGTCAGTTTGAAAGACAATATCAAGAGTATTGCTCTGGGTTTCAATGGTTAGTGGCCCAGGGAATCCATTGCCACAGTAAGGACCAAATTGTTGATTCTTTGCAGCAAACTGGAAGGAAACAAGGTAATAAAATCAGAAGAGAGAAAAATCTAAAGGAAGAAATTGAATGGGGTGTGAAAATGAAATGATCGGCACAGTATAAAATCAGAAGTAAGCAAATGAACAAGAAGATTCGCAAGAGGAAAGATTATTTAAATCCCAAAAGCTGGACCTGACGGCGCAGGCCTGTGATCACAGCTAGTTGGAAAAGCCAGGAGAGTTATAAGTTAAGGCCAAATTGGTCAATTTAATGAGAATCTGTGCCAAAATAAAGACTAGGGAGAAAATACAGAAAGGGCTGCAAATGGAACTCGAAAGTAGAGCACTTGTCTAGCATGCGTGAGGTCAAAGGTGCAGTCCCCAGTTCAGGAAGGAATAAGGGGAGAGAGGGAGAAAGAAATGAAAAGAAGAAATC